TGAACATTTTTCTAAAGGGAAGCCATTACTGAATCAGTATCAAAAGCACACATGAAGACCAGAGAGGAAAACACAGACAAAACGACACAGGTCAATCCCAGGGGCTGGGGAAAGGGCGACAGAAATCCAAAGGCGTCTATGCCCAACTGTGATCTTGCTCACAGAAGGCAGAACGCTCAACCTCACCGTCTGTGGACTCCTGAAACTTGTCACGGACGCTCTTTAATTTCTCCAGGGCTCGCAGGTTGGGAGCGGCTGTCTTCAGTAGCACGTCTTCCTGGGAGGCTATCTGCTGCAGAAGTAGTGCATGCTGGACCTCCACGTCCTTGTCTGACTGGAGAGCCTATGAGGGAAGAGCAGCAATGACTGGCAGGTGTGCAGGTCTGCTCGTTAAAGGCACCAGGCCAGCCTGGCTGCCCTTTTAGAGCTGTGGGTCACAGCCTGGTGGGCCCTTTGCTAATGCCTGTGTCTTTGCATCTTGATGCTTTTTTCAGGAGTCTAGAGCTGTCAGCACTGCTCTAAGGGAACATGCTTCACCTTATTATGGCTTCATCTGCTAAACAGCCACCACTCACAGTTGCCTCCCTGCATTCACTCATTAAAGGATCTACTGCTCACCTACTATGCATCAGACACTGAGGAGTCAGTGGGGGAAAACATCTAGCCCTTATCCCTGAAGAGCTTGTGGGGAATCAGCATGCCACCTGGCATTTACACCACAGTGACAAACTAACAGACAAGCAGGGGCCCTGGGGACAGAGCCGGGGTCCAGCTGGCTGGGAGATGATACTTAGCACCTGACAATGAGCAGGACTGACTTCAGTGAAGAGGAAAGGGAAAAGTATTTTAGGGATGTCCTTCCAGGAGAATGTTCTTGACTTTCCACAATGGGTTAGTTCCTGTATGATAAAGGTGACATTTTAATTTACTGGTAACAGAAGGATTCCTTGATTCAATGGTGGTAAGTCAACTGACTAACTTGGCAACCTTTTAAAACAAAGATCCTTACCTTACACTGGATAGAAAAATAAATTTCAGATAAATTAAACAGGTCATCATTAGAAAAAAAATAACACCATAAAGCAATATGATGAATCAAGGAAATTTAGAAGTTGTCAAAAATGAAACAGAACACATAAAAAGATCCATATCCTAGGCATTAGAGCTAAAATACGCTGTTAGCTATATCAGGAACAGCAAACTCAAGAAGAATAATTCATCATCAAAAAGAGCATTTCAAGATCTAGCTCGAGGTATGTGATACTGTGTGTGATAGGGTTAACAGTCACACACCTAAAAGGAAGACCAGTTAATAGCACTACAATTCAAATTTATGCACTAACCACTAAACTCAAGAATAATGAAACTGAAAAACTCTACCAATTTCTTCAATCTGGGATGCATCAAACATGCAATCAAGGCGTGCTGGTAATACTGGGGATTGGAAGGCGAAGGATGGAAACAAAGAAGATGGATCAGTAGTTGAAAACGTTTGTGAGAGCAATCGTACTGGTGGTTATATGACAGAATTTTGCAAGACCAATAACTTATTCATTGCAAATGCCATTTTAAAAAAATACAAAAAGCAACTACATATCTGGACCTCAGCAGATAGAATACACAGAAATCAAACTGACCATATGTGTGGGAAGAGATTGTGACAAAGCCTAACATTATCAGCCAGAACAAGGGCAGGAACAGTCTGTGGAGCATATTACCGATTGCTCATGTGCAAGTTCCAGCTGAAGCTGACTACCTCCCATCTAACTCAGAAGCCAGCTCAAGAACAGGTTTGACGCATTGGGCACTAAGGATGGGGAACCAGAAGAGTCATAGGATGTCATCAAGAACATCAGACAGGAAGAAAGCAAAAGGTCATTGAAAAGACAGGAACGAAAGACCAAAATGGATTTCAGAAGACACTCTGAAACTTACCCTTCAAGGTACAGATGCTAAAGTGAATGGAAGAAATGAGGAGATAAAAGAGCTGAACAGATCATTTCAAAGGAAAGTTCAAGAAGACAAAGTCAAGTGTTATAATGAAATATGAAAAGACCTGGAGTTAGAAATCTAAAAGGGAAGAATATGCTCAGCTTTCTAAAGTTGAAAGAATTGAAGATCTTAAAGAATCAAGCTTCGACTTTACAATATTGAAGGATTCTCTGGGCAAAGTACTGAATGATGCAGAAAGCATCAAAAGAAGCTGAAAGGTCACCGTACCTAAAAGAAATGGTCGATGGTCAACCATTTCAAGAGGTAGCATATGATCAAGAACTGATGTCACTGAAGGAAGAAGTCCAAGCTTCATTAAAGGCATTGGCGAAAAACAAGGTTCCAAGATTCGATGGACTACAAACTGAAATCTTACAATGAACTGATGCAGCACTGGAGACACTCATTTATGACAAGAAATTTGGAAGACAGTTACCTGGCTAACTGATTGGAAGAGTTCCATATTTTGAATCCACTCCAAAGAAAGATGACCCAACAAAGTGGGAAAATCATAGAGCAATATCGGTAATATCACATGCAGGTAAAATTTTGCTAAAGATAATTCAGAAATGCTACCACGACAGTGACAGGGAACTGCCAGAAATTTAAGGCAAATTCAGAAGAGGGCGTGGAATGAGGGATATCACTGGGGATGTCAAATGGATCTTGGCTAAAAGCAGAGGATACCAGAAAAATGTTTACTTGTGTTTTATTGACTATGCAAAGACTCTGGACTGCCAGGATTCCACACAGACAAGCTATGGATAACATTGTGGAGAATGGGAATTCCAGAACACATAATTGTGCTCTTGAAGAGCCTGTACAGAGGCCGCGAGGCAGTTGTTAGAACACAACAAGGAGATAGTGAATGGTTTAAAATCAGGAAAGGTGTGTGCCTGAGTTGTATTCTCTCACTGTACTTACTGTGTTATGTTGAGCAAATAATCTGAGGAGCTGAATTAAATGGAAAAAAAAAAAAACAAAAACCTAAAAAAACAAAACAAAACATGGTTTCAGGCTTTGGAGGAAGACTCACTAATGACCTGCCATATGCAGATGATCCAACCTTGCCTTCCGAAGGTGGAGAGGGCTTAAAACACTTACTGATAAAGGTCTAAGACCACAGCCTTCAGTATGGATTGAATCTCAATGTAAAGAAAACAGAAATCTTCACAACAGACCAATAAATAACATCACGACAGATCACGCTGGTAAACACTTCATTTGTTTGGATCCACAATCAATGCTTTTTGAAGGGGCAGTTAAGAAATCATATGATGTATTATTGCACAAGACCTCTTTAAACTGTTCAAGAGCAAAGATATCAGTTTCAGTACTAAGGTGCAACGGACCCAAGTATATTTTCAGGAGCTTCATATGCAATTGAAAGTTGGACAGGGAATAAGGAAGACTTGAGAAGAATTGATGTATTTGAGTACGGTGTTGGAGAAGAATATTCGCAGTACCACAGTCTGCCAGAAGAACAAACAAATCTGAGTTGGAAGAAGTACAGCCAGAATGTTCCTTAGAGTCAAGGATGGAGAGACTTCATCTCTCCTATTTCAGACATGTTATCAGGAGTGACCAGTACCTGGAGAAGGGCATTATGTTTGGTAACGTGGAGGGTAAGTGAAAAAGAGGAAGCCCTCCAACGAGATGGACTAGCATGGTGGCAGCAGCAGTGGGCTCAAGCGTGATAGTAATTTTAAGGATGGCGCAGGATGAAGCAGTATTTTGTTCTTTTGTGCATAAGGTCACTATGAGTTAGAACTGACTAGACACACCTAACAACCACAACCTCACACCATACACAAAAATAAATTTCAGATGAATTAAACAGGTCAATGTGGAAAAAGAACACCATAAGATAGGAAGTAAATGCTGATAAATATTTCCTCCATAGGGAAGTGGGAAAGAACTTTGTAGACACAGAGAACAGTAAATAGAAGATCAGAGTGAAGCTAAAAAGGATGACTGAAGAAAAGGTTCTTCTTTTCTGAGTACAGGACAACTGCAGTCCAGCAGCAGCCCAGCAAACTCAGCAAATATATGAATCACACATGAATTGAAAGGATACGCAGAGATTGCTGCTCAGCACCGAGGCGCTGTTCCTTCCTTCCTGAGAACCTAGGAGCCAGGCCAGGTTGGTCCATTTCTCCCTCATGGGTCCCCTGTACCCTAAGGTGGGTCTTCGTGGTAAGGCTATGTCTACCCACTCCTTCCATCAGTGATGGGCTCAGGAGTGGATACATGGCCACTGATGATGGGGGATAACTGCTGGTGCTTTCTGGGGAGGAATCTTTCTTGGTTCCTAAAACTCGCCCAAGACAGCACACTATCTCTCTGACAGTGGTGGCTGGGTGACTGTCCTCAGGAGAAAGCTGTCTCCGTTTCCCAGCGCTGCTGAAGCAGAAACACCACAAGAGGCTGGCTTTCATAAATAACATCTATTCTCTTACAGGCCGCGAGGCTAGGAGTTGGAATTCAGGGCGCTGGCTCTAGAGGCAGGCTTTCTCTGTCAGCTCTGAGGAGGAGCCTCCTCTCTTCAGCTTCAATTTCCTGGTTCCTTGGAGATCTCCATGTGCCGTGGCATCTATTTGACCCCATCTCTGTTCTGCTGGCTTGGTTAGTCTCTTTTCTATCTCAAGAGATGTGCTCTCAAGTGTACCCAGCACTAAGCCTCCCTCCCTCGCATAACAAAGAGAACCCATTCTTAAATGAGATCATATCTACAGGCACAAAGGTTAGGATTTACCACACAAATGTTGGGGCAGGGGCGGGAACACAATTCATTAACAGAAATGTCTGGCTGTAGGAATGACTGTGAAACAGAGCCCGAGCCACCCACTGTGCTATGCCTGTCACAGCAGGGCCTTGGCCAGGCACAGGGAGGAGGCCTGTGCTACCTATGGGAATTCAGGAAGCTGGCAGGCTGGCTGCTTCTGACTTCTCAGGGCCTGGACCATTCACTGTGGAATTCCAAGAAAGGAATAGATATTTTCAAACTTTGCTGGCCACAGAAACTTCTTTGGTAAGACACTTCAGGGACCATGTTTTATAGAATGCACTGGGAGAAATGCTGTTCTATACATTACCATCAGTGACCTATCTATTCATGGCGAGTTCTTCCAAAGTCACTAGGAAATCTACTTTGAAAACAAAACCGGTGATTGTGGGAGAAGGTAGCAGACACCATACATTTCCAGGTTGCCTGGGCCCTGCCAATGTCATGTTCTGGTGTCACTGCTCCAGCCACCTCCGTGTTTCATGGCCCACCCCAGCGCCAGCTTCATCATGCGTTCATGCCTCATGGAAAAGTGGGGTGTTCCTCAGTCAGTGGGTTCCTGGCCACTGTGTCTGGAGCCACAGGATTCCTGGGCCGATATGTTGTCAAGCTCCTTGGATGTATGGGATCACAGAGGATCGTACCCTATGGGTGCAACACATAGGATCTCATGCACCTTTGTCCCATGGGTGACTTGTGCCAGATTATCTTCCTGGAATGGAATGGGAGAGACAAAGATTCCATCTGAACAGCAGTGGAGCACAGCAATGTGGTCATCAGTCTTGTTGGGCAAGAATCTGAAACTAAACACTTTGATCATGAAGACGTCTGTGTGAAGGTTCTCCAGGCAAGTGCTCAGATGGTCCAAGGAAGCTGGAGTTGAAACGATTCATGTTTCTCATCTGAATGCTAATAGGAAAAGCTCTTCTAGATATCTGACAAGTATGGCTTCTGGAGAGAAAGAAGTGAGAGATGCATTTTTAGAAGCCACTATTATAAAGCCACCAGACCTCTCTGGAAGAGAAGATCAATTCTTTATCTATTTTACAAATATTTGCTGGTTTGGTGGTGTGCCTCTTGTTTCATTAGGCCTGAAGACAGAGAAACAACCAGTATATATAGCAGTGGATTTGTCCATAGGAATTGCTGATGCAGTTAAGGATCCGGATGCCAGAGGGAAAATCTTTGCCTTCACTGGGCCAGATCGATACCTCCTTTTCAATCTGATGCAGTATGTCTTCGCTGTGGCTCACAGACCCTTCATCCCATACCCCATGTCACATCTTGCCTATCAATTGGTAACAAGAGTCTTTGAGATGAGTCCGTTTGAGCCCTGGACAACAAGGGATAAAGTGAACAGGTTCACCTCATAGACATAAAATTGCCTCACCTGCCTGGCTTAGAAGACCTTGGTATTCAGGCAACACCCCTGGAACTCAAGGCCACTGAGGTGCTGTGTCGTCATTGCACTTACCTCTGGCTGTCTTCTAAAATTTGGGGTTTTGAGGTTGGCCAGACAATCAGTGTTTAGTGATCCTTGATTTTTGGTGTCATTCACGTTCACCTGGCTAGCAACCACTTACTGTCTTCAAAGAATCCCGTACAAAGTGAGTAAGACCTATTAAAATGTCTCAGATTAATTTCTGTAGCACATTTTCTTTCTTGGTTTATTGAATGAGAAATTTAGTCACTTAGAACTAGAGCACAGTTTCCTTTAAATATGAAGTGACTTCAAAAAGTCTGTGGAAAAATGCAGTTACAAGATAATAGAATTTTTCCTTGAATTTTTGAAACCCCCTTGTACATACATATATACACAAGGGTAAGCCAAAAAGTATTGTTACATAACATATTCCACAAAAACAGTGTTCTAATGCGTTCTTTGGTGAATAGCATTGGGGATCTTAAAAGTGGATGAGTGGGTCTCCAAGGTACAAATAATGTTCTCTCTATGTACAGAACAAAGAAGAGTGATTAGAATGGAATCAGTTGTCCAGTGGACTAATGGACCAATGGGACTTGTGAACATCAGTCTCCACAACTCTGAGACCAGAAGACTAGATGGTGCCCAGCTACCACTAACAACTGCCTTGAAAGGAATCACATCAGAAGGTCCCAGGTAGAGTCAGAGAAAATAGAGAACAAAAGTCAAAATTACAAAAAATGACCAGGCTGACTGGTCAGAAAGAGACTGGGGTAGAGACTGTACCCTCAGCCACCCTTCAGGTCTGGAAAGGAACTCACCCTTATAGCCAAGCAGTAGATAGGTGTATAGGATGGGGGACAACAACAGTAATAAGGCGTGTTCACCATGGGAATGCTCAAGCATTCAAAATCAAAAGGGCACCATTTTCCTAAGGACAAAGTTGAGAAGGGATGGGGAGGGGGGTGGAATGGAAATAGAACCACAGGAGGAAGTGGGATAATTGTTGTTGCATGGAGAAGATTGTAATTATTGTGATGAAACAAAGTGTATGATTTGTTGAATGTAAAACTGATGATCTTGTCTATAAAGCTTCACTCAAATCACAATAAAAGGTTAAGAAAAAAGCATTGCTACAAAACCATAGACATGTGTATGAAACAAAAATATCAAAACATGAAAAGAAAAAAACAACAAAACCAACAAAAGTTACTGTATGTTTAAAAAGGATTCTGAAGTATGGAGGGACTCCTAAAAGGCCGTCGATAACAGAATAAGATAACGGACATTTTCCATGAACTGTCTGATGTCCCCCTGCCTTTCAATAGTCAGCATTAATGTGAGTTGAGTTAGTTGTAAACAGTGGTTTTATCCTCCCTTTACCTTCAAATCCTCGCTCAGAGAGCTGTAGTCCAACTCAATTGCTTCTTCTTTTTCATAGATGTCAGCTGTTGCCTGGGTACTTTCTGGCTCGGTTCCCAGCTGAAAATTAAACGAAGCCCATTTCTTGTTATCTGAAACCACAATAGCAGTTCGTACGGGGGCCCCCAGCCCTCCACTTGCTGGCCACTTACTCAGGTGACAAGCTGAAACCCCGAAAGTGGCCTATGAGGCCTGGGGACTGCCAGGTAGTCTGCCCTCTGTTGTCTCTAAACTCACTCTGCCCAGGCCATACTGCAGCTTGGATAACAGTGGAGCTGGCACCCTACATGCTTATTGCTTTCCCTCTCTGTGGCCATCCCGGGCCTCCCCAGCTGAGCTGGCAAACTCCCGGAACCAGAGCCTGCTCCCACCCCTGCTTCAGGCTGACCTTAGCAGCATCGCCATCTAACATAGGTGTTTTACTTGTTCACCATGGGGTTTGTCCACTTGCCTTGCCCCACTACAAGGTGAGAGAAGGGATCTGGGTGGTTTATTCCTTGCTGTGGCTCTGTGCGAGACACGCTGGACTGCGAACCACAAGGTCAACAATTTGAGCCCACCAACTGCTCCATGGGAAAAGGAGGCGGCTTTCTGCTCCTGAGTTGCAAGCCTCGGCAGCCCTGTACAGGGCTGCTATGAGTTGGAACTGACTCGGCTACACCTAAGAGCAGCAGCACTCACTCGGTGCCTAATGCACTGACCCCTACATATTTCTATGGTAACACGTGTTACTCTGCACAAAGGCAGGAAAAGACGGAAGGAACGTATTCCCACAGCTGTCAGGTTGGATCCAACTCACAGTAACCGTGCAGGACAGGGGCTATCCCACAGGGTCTCTAAGGCTGTAGAGCCCTATGGAAGCAGGCCACAATAGTTTTCTACCTTACAGTGCCTGCTGGGTTTGAACCACCAGCCTAGATTTGCAGCCCAACATTTCATTTACTGTACCATCTGGGCTCCTTGGGTTGTAAAGCTGATTATCAAAAGCCAAGACTCACAAATTAAAAGAATTGTCACTAGCTCCTTCCCAGATATGTTCCGCTGAAACAAACTTTCAAGGAAATCACTCTGGAGTTCAGTTATATTTTATTCCGAACAAAACCATTGGAAGTTCATCCAGAAGGAAGAGGACTTGAAACAAACAATGTCCGGTGGCTCTGGTACCTCACAAGCCCTGTTTCTGTGAGTTAACAATCCATTTCACAGGTACTTTCCATGAGTTATGTGGTGTGGTCAGTGGGCAGACACCAGCCACCTTGTCTGGGAGGCATTGCAAATGCAGGCGCCTGACATGCTTCACGTGCACATGGTGATGGGGAACCAGCAATGGACAAGTTTCCCTCGAGATGTTCCAGTCTCCTCCAGGAACTCTGTCAGGGCAGGCAGCTGATACTCTGACTGTGCACCTCAGTGGGAGAGAACCCCAGGTTTTACCTCACAACCTCAAAGTGGCTGTAAGTGCTCACGCCCCAGGATCAGTCCTCTGCAGAGTCATGAACCACATGGAATGCCTGATCTAATGGGGCAGCATCACCATGGCAGGCCACTGGCTTCTCCAGGAGCAAGCTGCTTCCCAGCAGAGGAAAGCTGACTCTGGGCCTCCACCCGCCAAACCTAGTGGCAGCAGTCTCTGGGCTACCAGCGTCTGTCTTACAGACAACTCACATCATTTGCCCTCACTTTAGAACAACTGAGCCAACCCCTACCACAACAAAGTCACCATCCCAATCCCTGTCACTTGCTGCATGTGCAGCTATTAAATCACTGAAAAGGGTTTGGCTCTTTTCTTCCACCAATAAAGCTAAACATGAACCATGCACACCTGTTCTGACTGAGCTACAAATTCGACTTAAAGACACGTGAGGGGCGGGCCTTGGTAAGCAGGGACTCCCTTTGGTCAGAGAACAAGTGTGCTCCACATGAGGGACTGCAGCCATCTGAAGAGAGTCATCATAACCCCAAGGCGCCACAGTCTGGTACCTTCCTCTAAGAAGCACCCAGTATATGAAGTGAAGGCAGAGTGGAGCAGAAGGGCCACCCCTCCTTTCCCGGGAACTGTCAGTCACTCCTGCTGTGAAACAGCCCACTGTGAATGTTGCTGTGTTTTCATGCAGATAAGCAAGTCGCCTCCCATTCACACGGGCAGGCAGGCATGCCTCAAAGGTTCCGTAACTGAAGGGGTAAGACATCACATCCCTGACCGCCTGACCTGCACCCAGACCCCAGACCTCATAGCAGCTCTTCCCTCCCGGGTCCCCAGCACCACTCTTGGAAAGTCACCCTGTCTTTTCAACAGACTTTCCATTCTTTTTACATCAGTGAGGACTGCTTTTGTGTTCCACTTACAGCTGCTGGCAACAGAGCCCTCTACCCTCTCTCTTCCTCACCCTCAGCAGTGGACACAGGTCCCAGAATGAGGCCATGGAACCCTTTCCCGGGACTGTTCTAACAAGAAGGCAGAGAAGGGTCGCCTGACCAGTAGAAAAAGGCCAGTGGTCCCAGAGGCATCCTGTGGGGAAAGCTGCCCTGAGAGGAAAGAGTGAGTATCCGAGTATCCATAGCAAGGAAGAGGGGAGCGTGCCCGAGACGGGCTTCATCCGGTCTGCAACTTTTCTTCCCCACCCTCTGAGCTGGGCTGATGTCACTGTGGCCAGGACAGCTTTTCTCCTCTTCTTGTCTGACATATGCCTCTGCTAAAGAGACAGGAGACAAAGCCTTCTAGAGCAGAGTGTCACACCAGAGCGGTGCCTGTCACACCTGTGCTATACGGGACTCCTGAGGTGACAGGTGGAGGGCCTGTTCTCACCACACCTGTGCTATATGTGACACCTGAGATGACAGGCGGTGGGCCCATCTGTTCCTGTCACACCTGTGCTAATCAGGACTCTGGAGCTTGTGTCACCAGAAGCCCTTGGTCTGTGCCTCATGTTAGAAAGATCTTCCCGTGAGCTCAGGGAGCATGTCTGATTGTTGGAATTTCCAGAGATGTCTGAGTCCATCCTGAACACATGAGTGTCTTCCCGCTGGTCTCCCTTTCTTGTGGTCTCCAACAGGCCCACCGGGTGGGTATGTTCTTCTGGGAACTATCTCCACACAGCAGCCATTTAGTGAAGGTGCAAAACAAGACCCCTCCTCGTATCACAAACAGGGCAACTGTCCACTGCAGCTGACGCCCTCCCCACAACAGCCACAATTCCAACAGCTTGAATTCTCTGCTTTCTCACCAGCATGCCTACAATACAGGTTTTCCTTGCTATCTGAAACTAGAGCAGTCCTATGAAACCTTTAGTAAGTGGAAATGGTGTAAGGCAAAGAAGCAGTTACCATTCACCTGATGTGAAGTGCTGCCGAGTGGATCCAACACACAGAGATCCTGTATAGCAGTTCCAAGGAGCGGCTGATGGGTTTGAACCCCTTACCTTGTGGTTAGCAGTCTAGTGCTTATCCCACAGCACCACACCAGGAGTCCATTCACTTATACGGGAAATTTTTTTGAGTGCTCCCAGACCCCAAAACCAATCTACAAATCCTCCCAAAGAAGACCTAAATGGCACGAGCATATAGTAAAAGCACGGTAAACACGCAGCCTACGCAAAGTGGACATGACATATGGACAGTTAAGTGGAGACACCCCTCGGGCTGTTGGGGTGCAGGAGACCTCTCAGGGCTCCCGCAACACAAATGCTCAATGATACTTTCCCTTGGTGCTTTTTTTTTGGGTAAAAGTATAAATCCTCTTGGGGTTTTTTTGGTTAGCAAAAAAAGGCACTAATGTAGGTCTTTCGTAGAAGTGAAGGAAGTGTGTAAACATGTCTGAAAAGCAGAGGGAGACCTGTAAGACGCTCCACTCCTTTCAGTGAAGTAATGGGGGAAGAGGGAGGGAGGAGAGAGCTGAGAGACAGGGAGGGATGGAGAAAGAGGGAAGAGAAGAGAGAAGGAGAGAGAGGGAGGGAGGGGTGGAGATGAGGGAAAAGGGGGAGGCAGAGAGAGCAGGCAGGGGAGGAGAGCTGCCTGAGCTGGGGTTCTGAGGGCGATGCCCTTTCCCTCTTAGAAAAATATGTCTTCTCTACCCTAAAGGGCGGGAGGACAAACAGAAGGGTCTTCCAGGCTGGGACCTCAAAGCATCCCTTTCAGGTTCCCACACCGCATGTATGGTTACATCATGGGCTGGAATACCTCCACCTCGCTGATGTCATCCAGGGACCCCTGCAGGAGGACGACCTCAATGTCTTGAACTTTGCAATCAAGCAGCATGTTGTGTTTCTCCAATCGTTTATGTTCCACAGAAGTTTGGATTTTCACAACTTCTTTTTGCAATTTCCCCACTTCCCTGTAAATACACAGATAGGAAAAGGGGGTTCTATTTGGCTCATTGCATAAAGTGGCACCTAGGATGACGAGTGGACAGGTGAGCACACATGAGCACACACACACTTGTATTTCTCCCCCAGGAGTGTACGACTTGTAGAGTTCTCTCTCTGATGCGGTAACACTCCTGGTCAGGCGTGGGGTCAGTCTCAGGCAGTTTTCCCCATTACAACCGGGGCAGTCAGCCTGCACAATGTTCAAACAACTCTTCCCCTCAAGTAGATGCTTTATATTTTAGAACCTCAAACCACGGAACATATTCTCTTAGTGCAAAGAAATATCTTACTGAATAATTACAGGCAGTATTCTTACCACCACCATTATATTAATGGGATGGTTTCTATTTTGAAATAAGAGCTTGGGTGTTATCAGTTGAAACAACATGGATTTTAAAGAGCTTCCTAAAACAGTTTTAAAAAACAAAGAAAATTTAAGGCTTTTAAACATATGAAAAACAGAGAGATGATTCTGCTTAAACACAAGACTGAAAACATCAAGAATAAGGAGACTTCAGTTCTACTTAGAGATATCAAAGATCTTTCTAGCTGTGTCTTCAAACAAGTGAAGAAAATTGCAAAATGTCCTAAGGTGAACAAAAACAGAGCCCCTTCATCTGCTCACTTACAGTTGGGCCTACCATGAGGGGCAGAGGCCGCTGGGTCACATGGTCCACACAGTTGTCATGTGGCAGGCACTGTTCCAGGCCATCTGGGTAGGTACTCATTGTAGACCTTACAACTATTCTACAAGGAAGGCTCTGTCATGACGCCCAGCCCACTCTACTGATGAGGAAATTTAGGCTCAGCAGTTGAGCAGCAGAGCTAGGATTTGAAGCCAGGCGTCTGGGTGCCAGGTTCCACCTCCTCAGTGGCTGTGCTGTGTCCCACTGACAGACAGGCTCCTGTACAATGAAAGGTACCTGCATCCAGGGGGCTCTTTACCGAGGGCTAATTATTCACCCAACAACATGGACTATTCACTCTAAACAACTAACTGTGCCTCTTGGGTTTCTCTTAAACGTGAAGGTAATGAGGAAGTAAAGCAAGCAAGCGTGCATACTGAAATACCACACCGTCCTGTCACACATTTCAAGTGGACACTAACCATCTTTAAAAGAACGCTCTGTCTCTCAAATGGAAGAACTCAGCATTACCTATCAATAGCCAGAAGCTTCTTCCGTTCCTCTTCAATCTGGGCATGGGCTTTCTCAGCCCCGGAGTTCTGAGTGGCAAATACGTTCTTCAGCTGCTGCTGCTTGTCCATGAGCTCATCCATAATTTTCAGGCAGTCTTCTTCAGTCTGTGGATGACTTGCATTGTAGGTTTACTGTCGTTTACATGAAGACTAAGCTCACTACCCCTGCTGCTGCTTGAACCCTGAGAAGCTGGCTACTGCCTTGACCTGACCCTTCACTACAGATTCAGCCCTTAGAGCACTGCCATCTGAAGCCTCTTCCCATTTTCCAGGAAAACGATCGCTTACTTAGTAATGAGACAGACATTTCTAGCGAGGTGGTGGTTTCCAGGCTACCTCACCTTCTGGCTTCTCTTCATGGTCTCTGGTCCCTCCCTGTCTGCCCCTCCCCCGGGAGATCCAATCATTCTCAGATGGTTTCTCTGGGGATTCGGACTCCAGGAATTCCCAAATGCTTGTCTTCACCTAGATGCCACCCTTTTGTCTATATCTTTGCAACTTCCTACTGGAAGCTGCCTTCCTGATGGCACAGAGGCAGCCCCGTAGCCTGCTCCTCCGATGCTCTGGATCTCTGCAATCCCTACCCTCACCCTGTAAATTAGAACCTGGGAGTCATCCAGGGCACTCTCCTTGTCATATCTCCTATCTCCACATCCAATTAACCCAGTGTCTCTCACTCCTGCCTCCACGCCCATTGTAGGGCCACCCCTGGAGGGAGCTCAGAAAGTCTGCTCTGTGAAGGGCAGTGTCACTCATCCAGGTCAGCCCTCCCACCGCCCCCTTCCCTCACCTTCTTCAGGTTATCAACGTCCTTTCTGCCTTTCTGGACCGTCTCCTTCAGTACATCCATCTTACTCTGCTTCTTCTTCAGCTGACTGCGATTGTATTCCAGCTGAATCTTTAGCTGAGTTTTTTGTTTCTCAAATTCTAGTCTAGCATGATGAAACACAGCATTAAAGCTGGGAACAGGCACTTTCAAGTCTTATTTTATTTTAAATATATTATTATGGCAAAAATTCAAACACATACATAAATAGAAAGACTAATATTTCTGTACCTATCATCCAACTTTAATTATAAATTCCTGGTGCATCTGATCTCATCTATAAACTCACTTGGACCCCACGTGTGGTGCTGTAGTATCAGCACTGGACTGCAAACCACACGATCATCTGTTCAAACCCACCAGCTGCTCCCTGGAAACCCTAAAAAGGGTCGCTAAGAGTCAGAATCAACTCGATTGTACTAAACAACAACATAAACCCATTTATTCCATTTCCCACCAATGAATTATTTTGAAGCCAATTCTAAACAGCATGTAATTTCATCTGTACATATTTCAGTGCAGCTCACTACAAACAGAAACTTAAAAAACCAGAAACAGAGGATTATGACTAAAAAATTAGAATAATTCCTCATTGCTAATTGCTGTCCTCATTAGATGGCGGATCAGGTACAGATGTAGTGAGGAGCTCGGTCAACAACACGGAATACTGGGTCAAGAGGACTTACGAGTTGGTGTTGGAACTCTGTAACAAATACAAAGTTATGTTTGGAGTTTCGGAGGG